CTGTATTTTGTCTTATACCTTTGGTTCCTTTGCACCTTTGTTCTGGTAGCATTTGTGCCATGCTATCCTCAACCCTGGGTCCCCTGCCTTCATCTTTTCTTCTTTGGTGCTCCCAAAATGTTGAATTCTTAATGGTGGAGTCGTGCTTACTGGATCAAGTGCACATTTATATTAACTAGTGATTCTCACCTGGACCCACCTTACAGCTCAGGAAGACTTTAGTTTCTTTTTTTTATTTTACCTCACTTCAGTAGCTGCTCCTTCCCTTCTAAAGCCCCCAGTGTTATCTCAAACTCCTTTTAGCAGAGTTCCTAGCCTCTTACCTTACTGTGAATAACAGTAGCAGTAAAAACAACATTAATTATATAAGATCTTAAGGTTTGCAAAGCACTTTACATACATCATCTCATTTGGTCCTTTCAACAACCCTGTGAGATAGGTAATATTGTTGTCCTCATTTTACAGATAAGGAAACTGAGAGAGATTAATTGACTGACCCTAGGTCACACAGGAGCTATCTGAGGAAAAATTTGAACTCAGATCTTCCTGACTGCAGGTCACCTTTCTTCGTCTTTACTTCTTTCTGTGAGGAAGAGGTGGCCTTTCTCTTTGCCAAGACTACTCTTTCTCCTTATGCTCTTCCCATCTTCTTCATCTCTCTCTATCTCCAATCTGTCCTACAGTCTTCCTAAAGAAAAATTTTGATCATTTTGAATATTAGAAAGAACACTAGATTTGGAGTCAGAGAATCTGATTCCCATTCATTCATAGCTTTGCTGATATCTACTTTTGAGACCATAGGCAATTGATCACTGAAGAAGGATTTCATCTGTGGTAGGTACTAAGGTTACAAAGACCAAGATGAGGTAGTCCTTTACCCTCGACGAAATTATATTGGGGGCGAGTATTGCATTGGGCAAGGTGTAAGAGCAGCTGTTGATTACCAAGGCAATGGGAAATGGAGTGTCCTGTGAGGAGGACTGGTTGGATTGAGCCAGAGAGTGTATGAAGAGCTAGGTGGTACAGTGGATAGAGCACTGGGCTTGGAGAACTGAGTTCAAATTTGGACTCAGATGCTACCTGTGTGACCCTGGGCAAGTCACTTAACTCTGTTTGCCTCAGCTTGCTCATCTGTAAAATGAGCTCGGGAAGGAAATGGCAAACCACTCTAGTACCTTTGCCAAGAAAACCCCAAATGGGGTCACAAAGAATCAGACATGACAGTAATGATCTGTTTAACCTACTAAGCACTATTAGAATCTTGAGTTTTGTCATCCGTGATATTAGCTATACAGTTCTCAATTTTTTGCTTACAGATTTGCTAAGCATGCCATCTTTGTTTTCATGCAAGGCCCCAAGTGTAGGGTCTTCTAACAAGCCACTAGAGATTTCTTTCTATCCTGGCAGCTGTTACTCCATCAGCTGATTACAGTGGTACAACCTGTGAAGAATTCACCTAACCATGCCGACACCTAAACCTTAAGTCCCCAGCTTGTGGACAAGTATTTAAGTAGTCACTTTGTCAGCTGTTGGATTGAAATCTAAGTATATGCTAGCTCTGGCATTTTACTGATGTAAAGTTTAGTGATCCAGTTTTAAAAAAGGAAATTAGTTTTGTGTGACTTCATTTTGCTGACCCCATTGTGACTCATAGTGCTCATGAATTATCAGTTTAACATTTCTAGAATTTTGCCAGGGTCAGCATCAATCTCACTAATTGGTAGTTCTCAGAACCTGTCTTTTTGAAAGTCAAGATACATGTTCGTCTACAGCCTTCTGACGCTTCTCCTGTTCTCTAGGATTTCTCATGACTACACCCCTACTCTGCTTTGTAGATGAGAAAACTAAGACTCAGCAAGATTGCACAGCTAGTTAAATGCAGAGCCGAGACAAAATCATAGGTCTCATGGCACCTAATACTCTGCCTCTTGTGTCACTAATGAAATTAGCGGCAGAGACGTGAAGACCTCTTGTCCCTGGGGTCCTTCATGCTCTATCCTGATCTTCAGAACAAAATGGGAAAAAAAGGAACCATTGTGGAAGGAAGGTCTACAGGTCATTGTTCTTGATTTTGCCATAGGAGTGTCCAGGATAGCCACTGTTTCTGTCTGTTTTCTCATGCAGAGTATTTAACTGTAAATTTCACAGTCTTTTCATGTGAGTTGGTAACTCTCAAGTACAACAAGGAATATATATAACACAGTCAATGGGGTTAGCTGCCTTTTATAGTTACACAAACAGAAATTCAGAAATTGAAGTTCTGTTCCTTGTTCCATTTTAAGGCTATTCAGATATGATTCCTTTCAGTAGAAGATTGTAAAGTATCAAGAGGTCATGAACTTAAAACATTTTGTGATTGGAATCCATTTTAATTTATTAGAAGTTTTTTTGAAACAATATATGTACTTGTACACTTTACTTTAAAAGTTTTATTTTACGTAAGTGACAGTTTTTTAAAAGTTAATTAGAATCTTCTGTACTGATGTTGGCAATAAAGTGCCTTGAATTATCAATAATTCAGTATACTGCACTAGATTGTTGTTATTTTTTTAAGAGTATCATGAGATAGTTATCCTTAAATAAATGGTTTTAAGCACACATCAGCATCATGGGGTTCTCTTAAACATAGCATGAAGTGACAATCCCTCTGCTTTGTATTATTTTGTATAGTGGGGGACATTATTCTTTTTAGCCATGAACTACTAGCAACCTTTGTCCTTTATGTTACCTTTAGTTAAAAAACGAAAATGAGCATGAATGCTGGCTGATGGCCATGTCTTTCTTGCAGCTAAAAATTCATCTGGGAAAGATAAATGGGATTGTAGATTTGGATTTGTTTCATTGCGTGAATGATATGTGACATTTCGTAAATTATTTAACACTGCTAGGATGGCAGAAATGGCTTGAGCATTGTTATATCAAATGAAAGCAAGAATCCCATTAGTGCAAAGACTGGGTTTAGCTAGAATCTATCAGGGGAATGTTGTCACTTTAAAATCAGATTGTTCTTTTAATTGCTATTTAAAGGAACAAAAGTGTTCCCAAGGTACTGCAGTTGAACACTCACAAGTAATAACTATGGATCTATAATTGTGTGGCACTGATTATCTGGCATTTTTAAAACTGGCAAGAATCAGTGACCAGTTTGCAGTACTTTGTATTTTTTTTATTTTTCCAGTCGGCTGTTTGTGCTCTGTTTTCTAGCTGCATTTTCATAGTTACCTTGCTTTCTAAAGAATGAACACATTAGGAGTACAAATTAAGATGAAAGGAAGAACATAAGAAATGCCCTAATTGTAAAATAATACTAATAATCGTATGTGGACAGTGTATGAATACTCTGGAGCTTTCCTTAGATGCAATAGAGATATTGCAACATGGTAAAGAAAATTATTCAAATTCAGTATAACCGTTACAGATGATAAAATACTGTTATGTTTTTTTACTTATTTTTAAAGTGATCTGTTAAATTATTTGTGCGGTTGTTTTTTTGTTGTGGTTTTTTTTTTTGGTTTTTTTTTGTAAGTATGATTAATATGTACATGTTGGGTCTAAATTTTATTTAACACAATGTAAATTGTTTCTGTCTGACCAGATACATTTATAAGTTTAGGCCCAATTACTATTTTTCCCTGGTATTATTATTTTCCCTGGTATTAGGGGGCTGTGTTTCTAATAGATTTTTGGTCCAGGAGATTAAAGGAAACAGATTGGAAAATCTTAAAAGTAAAATATTTAACCTGCTAGACAACAACTTTAAAACCTTTAGATTTCCACTGAAAATTTATTTTTCATACACTATTGTATTTTCAGATTGATAAAAAGAAACCTCTGGAGTTTAGATTCACCTGTTCTGTGGATAAGAACATTATAGTTGCTGGGAGTGGTAAATAGCAATTAAGAAACCTGAAAATTTATGCAGATTTATACATTGTTAAGAGTGATTTCCATAGTGATCCTAATAGGGTGCTAGGGGTTAGACAAATGTTTTCTTGTTTCTTTTACAAAAGGGTAATGTCAGAAATTGAGGATTCACCTTTGTTTAGCATGGTTTATTTTTGAAGTTTGGTGTCAAAAAGAACATATTTTTGAAACTGTTAATGGTGGCCTTTTTGTCCTTTCTTAGTGAACCCACCAAAATATTTTATTCTTCTTTGCTGCTGGTCTTATTTATGTCACTTTAGAAACTGGACCTTTTGGGGTTAATATTTAATAGATAAATAAAAATAAGCTTCACTTAAACATTTAGCAAAGCAATGATCTTTTTTAAAAAATCTCACTCTATTTAAATTATATTCATATCATCTCATTCATCCCAGTACAGTGAAGAGAACGTTACTTTTATAGTTATGAGAGGTTCATTCAGACTCCAGCTAGCTTTGACACTTACTAGCTTTGGTGGCTCTTGGCCTTGGCTAGTCACTGACCCTTGCTGAGCCTCAGTTTCCTCATTTGTACATAAAATTAAGATAATCCTTTTACTGCTTAACTCACAGGGTTACTATGAGTAAAGCTTCTTAGGAACTTTTAAATTCACTAGTAGTTACTTTGCTTTCTAAAGAATGAGCACATTAGAAGTATAAATTAAGATGAAAAGAAAAACATAAGAAATGTCTAAATTGTAAAATAATTGGAACTATGAATTATTTTCTCTTTGACCATTAGATGAATGATTTTGTTAAAGGTGTTGTTTATGGTAACAGTTGGGACCTCAAATAAATTCCTCATGATAAATGATCTTCATTGGGTGTTTTGTATATAACTGCCTTAGATGTTAGTTTTGATAATAACTATTGTATTTGTGTAAAATAAAGAGCTTGCAGCATTAGCAATTTACTGTTGGCTTTAATAGTAATCGTCATCTTAAATGGATACCAGTTCCTTGTCTGATGCATGTGAAAATTTTTTGGTTTTATTTCATTCATTTTTATTTCAAAGTGAAATACTATTTGGCTAAGGTAAAATTAACTGTTTAAATTTTTTTTTTAATCTTGCTTTAGCCTCGAGCTGATCCCATTCCAATATGTAGCTTCTGTTTGGGGACGAAAGAATCAAATCGAGAGAAGAAACCAGAAGAACTCCTGTCTTGTGCAGACTGTGGCAGTAGTGGTAAGTTAGTGTATTTGTGTGCTTGTTAATGGTTGTCTTTTGTGGTAGGACAAATTCTTTATAAAATTCAACTCTTTATCCATTAAAAAATCTTCCATCTTCAAAATATTTTTTCTAGTATCAAGCATGAGCTCTAAGAATGTAAGAAGGAAAAGAGACAAATGGGAATATATTCTGTCAGATATCATTAATAGTTGTGTTTAAATAACATTTTATACTGTACCCTTGTGAACAGGGTGCTGGTCTTTACATCAAGAAAACTTAGGCTCAAAATTCCGTTTTTGACATTACATTGTGTGATTACTGTATGTCCCCTTCACCTCTGTGGACCTTTATCTTTAAGGTGATGATACCTGTAGTACTTACTGCACAGGGTGGTAATAATACTCAAATGACATCTTGTGTAGGTAATGTTTTGTAAACCTTAAAGAACTACTATATAAATGCCAGCTGCTCATAAAATCAGCATTGTCATCATTGAAATCTCACTGGATATGGACTGAAGTGAAATGTCTCTGAAAGCTCCAAGAGGCCAGCAAAAGACTTGATCTTGATATTTGATTTTCTCCCATAGTCATTTGTGTGATACTTTACATGAAGAAATCTTAATGAATATTTATAGGATGGATCAATGGGTGAATGAATTCCAAATTTGCAAACTACATGACATAATGAGCACATTTGTAATATTTTAAATAACCCAGAGCTTCAGCTTAAAGGATTTTTCTACTGAGAGCATCTTCTGGTTTAGATTGTGGCACCTACTGGTGAATTGTGATATTTTAATATAGCTCAAAGGAAAAAATTGGAGACTAAGTTATGAGCCTGTAAGAGTAGCAAAGAAATATCTAGGAATGAGAGAAATTCTTGTAGTTTTAAAACTAGGCAGAGAGTTAGTGACTGATTATTGATAGAGTCAATGTTTTCCTCAAAAGGCATAAGTAAATTGAAATGCTGTTCTCTTAATAAGAACTGCTAAAAGAATAGATAAGAGGGTAACCTTCTTAAATAAAGAATAATAAGAATTCATTGGCTTCTGTCTTGTTTAATAGATCTTGCCACTATTAAGTGGCCTTTAGCCTGTGACTGAGAAGGAAGAGATGAATAAGACATTATGTTCTTCATGAATAATATACTTATAATGTTTGCTAAAGAGACCTTGACAGTCTCTTAGATACAGTTTCATTAAAACTCATCTGTCTGGTTATGGTGTCATACATAGTGACAAAGACACAGTGATATTATCAGTATGTTCCATTTAGTTAAACCCAGCGAGACAGTATCATTGTTGTGTGTTGGGATAGGTAGTGTACCATTCATTAGAACCTTTGAGTACTAATTCTCATTTATGCAAGCATTCAACAAAAATATTTTGAGTAACAAATTAATAAGTGTTTATTATATGCCAGGCAGTATACTAAACACTAGAGATGCAGAGAAAGGCAAAAAACATTCCCTTTTCTTAAGGAGCTTACATTCTAACACTGGAAACCACATGTAAATAAAAAGGTTCACACAAGATACATATGGAGTTGATGGAAAGTAAATAGGGAGGAGGGCTTAGCAGCTGGAGGAACTAGGAATGGCCTCCTGAAGAATGTAGAATTTGAGCTGAGTCTTGAAGGAAGCCAGGGATTCTAAGAGATAGATTAAAAAGAGCATTCCTGGTATGGGTACAGCCAATGCCAAGAGCACATAGATGGGAGATGGGGTGTTGTGCACAAGGAACCGCAATATAGGTCAGTATTCCTTAGGATATATACAGGGGAATAAAGTATAAGAAGACTGGAAAAACAGGAAGGTACCAGATTGTAGAGAGCTTTAATTGACAAAGTACTTCATATTGAATCTTGGAGGTCATAAATAGTTTGTTGAGTAAGGAGTGCCATGGTCAGACTTACGCGTTTGGAAAATCCATTTGTCAGCTGAGTAGAATAGGAAGAGAGACCAGATAGAATTGTTGTTGTTAGAATATTCAGGTGAGAGATTATGATGTGAAGTATGGTATTAGCAGTACAAGAGAAGAGATAAAAATAGATCTGACAGATGTTATAAAGATAAAAAGAATCAGATTTGACGAGGCATTGGATACATGGAGCGAGTGAGTGAGAGTGAATAGTGGAGGATAACACCAAGATTGTAGACCAGCATGACAAGGAGGATATTGGTACCCTCAACAGTAAGAGTGAAGATCTGAAGAGGGAATGAGTTTTGGAGTAAAGATAATCAATGACTTTGGACATGTTGAATTTGAGATGCTTCTGGACATCAAATTTGAAATATCCAGTAAGCAGTTTATGATTTGCAACTGGAGCTCAGAAGAGATAAAGGCTAGATCTGTAGATCTGAGCATCTTCTGCATAAAAATGATGATTATTAGACCCATGGGAGCCGATGAGATCACTAGCTGAGACAGTATAGAAAGAAAAGAGAGGGTGCAAAGCATCAACCTCACAGTTTTGCAGTTTTAATTTGTCTCCAAACCAAGTCATATATCTAAGGGACCTCAATAAACAAGATACTGTCATGTGAGAGGGGGTGGGAAGGGGACTGGTAGTTTCTATTTCAAATGTTTCAGATATTTCTTTTAAAATATTCCTTTCATTGTGGTGCCATATGTTTGAGTGATGAAGAATTAGAGATTTCTTCTTGGCTTATAAATTAAAAGCCTTTCTGCATAAAGAATAAAAGCACTCTAATTCTTGGAGATAGTTTTAATAATGTCCTCCTTTCTTCTTGCTCAAATCAGAGAACTAAGAAAGAGATGGGTTGGCCTATTTTGTACCTTTTCATTTTGATCGACCAGAGTTTAATCTTCTTGGAGATCATAAAGAGTCTTAGTTTCTTTTCATTTGGTTTAAGAGAATGATGTTTAAGTCATGATTTTTAAAAAATATTTTTTAAATACCTTTCATTTACTTTTAATAAGACAAGAGTAGTACATGGAAGGCTTGTGTAGCAGGAATTAGTTTATGTTCAGAAGAGTTCAGCCTCTTCTTCAGGTAAAGCTATCTTAAGGCCTTGAAATGAGTGTATATTTCATGGCTGAAACTCAAGCCCTGGGGATCTTCATGTTCCTTTGTTTGGCATTATAGAATAGATCAGAGTTCCTCTTTGGGCTCTGCAACTGAATCCTGTCCTAGTGTTCAGGATAACTTAATCTTCCCCATATTGCTCTGTGCCAATCTGGGTTTGGCTACTTTAATCAAAAGCCCATTGTTGCTAACACAGGGAAATGCTTTGTAGACATCCAGTTTATAGGTAAGATCGAGTGGGCGGGCTTTTTTGTTTCTTTTGTTTTGTTTTTAAAATTGAAGGTTCAAAACCAAATACAATTTACTTTTAGGAGCTATGTTATGCCAGCCACTGGTGGTAACTACAGTAGAGAAAACTCACAGTGAATAGCTCAACAGTGCCCTCTAATGCTAGTGGAGCCCACTCAAGATCCGCTGCAGGCCTTTTGTGGCCACTTATTTATGTTTGGTGACCCCAGAGCTGGAGTTCTTAACCTTTTTTTTTCTTTTCTTTTTTACTTTTTTTGGGTCAGAACTCTGGCAGTCTGGTGAAGCCTAAGGACACCTTTTCATAGAGATGTTTTTAAATGCAAAACAAAACACTTAAGATTACAAAAGAAACCAACTGTATTGAAATAAAATATAATTTTTTGCCCCATCAAGTTCAGAGAAAACACTGAAATCTCTTGGGGCCTGGGTTAAGAACCCCTATTCCAGCATGATGATGTGACAATGGGGGCTTTATTGAATTGAGAAAAACCCATGGGTGACATTGAAGGGTGAGGAAGATGAGTTCGCAGGTTGAATTGTTACTGTTTAGATTGATCAAAAGGATTCCTAACATAAGATGTTTTCGTGAGAAATACTCTTAAGTCCTATAAAACTAGGAGAAAAAAATAGATGGCAACCCATAAGGAGAGTTGGTTTTAATGTCTTTCCCGTATGTGTCAGATGCTTTTAGAAATGGCCCACCTGAAGTCTGTTTTGTATGATGTCACATTTACAATTAACTTGGAGATTTCATTTAGAATCTACTTAGATTTCATTGGCATGTGCAATAAACATCATCCCTTGCCTGACTTGATAAAGTAGCCAAATTTAGAAATTTCTCTTTTCCTAGGACAATCGTAGTCCCAAAAGGGGCATTTTATGTAACTATGTTATTACTTACAAACTATTTCAGATTAGTTCCATCCCACATGTGAGTGGCATCTAGCTTTTATAAAAATTTCTTTTTTATAATATGGATACAGTAAAAACTGGTTATCTTCACATTTATAAATGTTAGAATTTATTGAGATTTTACTTGATTTTTACAACTGAACATACTTTTGAATTAACATTTCTATTCTTTTTGCTTCATTGAGATCAAATTATTTTTTTACCAAAACTCAGCTCAAATGCTACCTTCTGTGTTTTAAAGCTTTCAAAATTCTTCTTCCTCTCCCCCCCCAAACTACAAATATTCTCCTTCCCAAAACTGTCTTCCCTTTGTATTGTGTAAATTCTTATAAATGTATGTTTCTCCCTCCCCTTTCCCCCTATTAGAATGTAAGCTCCCTTGAGAGCAGGGATCATTTCACTTTTGTCTTTGTATTCTGTTTTTAGCACATCACTTGGCACGTGTTAGCTGCTTAATGGATGTTTGTTGGTTGATTGGTTGAATTAATAAGTTTGCCACAAATAGTAGTAATAGGGACTAGATCTGTGATTTCATTGGTATAGTGAAGTCCCAGATGAAGTTATTTCCTCTACCATTGCAGGTTGGCACCTTTGTAATTTATAGGCTTTGAAGGTTACCTGGAGCACTGAGAAGATAAATGACTTAACATTGGTCAAATAGTTGAGTGGTGTTGGGGTTTAGAGTTGGGAAATCCCAAGTTTCACTCCTGCCTCAGATACTTACCAGATTTGTGACCCTGGACAAATCAATCTCTCTGCTTCAGTGTCTTCATCTATAAAATGGGAATAATAACAGCATGTATTTCCCAGGGTTGTTGTGAAGATAAAATGAGATAATATATGTAAATTACTGTACTATCATTATTATTATTATTATTATATGTCAGAGAAGGGACTTGAACTCAAGTCATGCTGGCTTCACGGGCAGCTGTCTACCCTCTCTGCTATGCTCTCGCTGTTAGATATTGTATCACATCAAATACTGTTTCTGTCAGTCATATTACTGGACAGTTCAGTTGTTTCAGTGCCTACAGTGGACCTGCCCATCCTGTACTGCTCTTGTCATTGTCCTCCTATAGATCTGCCATGGGAATCCCCCTACTATGCTGAGGCTCTCCTTGAATTCTCTTAACATTGCGTGAATCTCAGTAGAAAACATGGCTGCCCACCTTTTGGAGGGGAGAGAGTCATATTTTTTTTCTGACATATTTCGTATCAGTTCTGTGAAATTTCTTGTGCAGCCCAGCCCTATCAACAGTGCTCCTTTCTGCCACCCTTTGGATTAACTTCAAATAGCAAACAATAAAAGATAAGGGAAGGATTTAATGTAGAAAAATGAGTTCATATCTTTATAGAATGTAAGATTTAAAAACAAAAACCAGTCGTTTAAAAGGGCTAGGTATCATACCTAGGTCCCATTTTGAGTCTGTAGGGGTTTTTAACATTTAATTTTGGATCGTTCTATTAGTAGGACTTCTGAAGTTCTTAGTTTACTTCCTTTCCCATTTAAGGACGTTAAGCTTCTTTTGATCAAAGTGTTGCTCTTAATGACAGGGTTCTGCCTTTACCTGATTGTTCTTTGCTAGCCAGAGAGGTTTTGTATTATTTATGTAGATGTGTGTGTGTGTGTGTGTGTGTGTGTGTGTGTGTGTGTGTGTGTGTGTACATACGTACACACATATATACTTAATTACTCATTTGGCACAGAAGTACTTCTAGTAAAATGGGGCCACAAGTTAAATGGATACGCTTGGATGTCAGTCTCACAGCCAGAGACTGGCAGCTGCCTGTGACAAGTTTGTTCCCTTTATATTTGAAATATGGAAATTTAGTTATTTAACTAGAAAGTATGCTTTTATTAACAGTATTGATGATTGATTTTGAATGTTTCACTTAAAAATCACATCTTCTGGTAGGTAGAATTTTATGAAGCACCTATTAAGCTTTAGAAAGGAAGGTCAGTTTGGCATCAGCCCAAAATACATATTTAAACAATGAACCTGCTGCAGTCAGGAAATTATAAGACAGTTTTAAAGGCGCGGAATCTGCTTTTTTATTACACTGTTAGTTTTCAGTTGCAGCTTGGTTATGAGTTCTTTCACATGGGATTTACTAATGTTCTTGCTAGTTTTAAGGCTAGTTTTAAAAAAATACGTAAAGTTTAAAATTTCCACCAGTATGTGGGATAAAAGCTCATCATACAGAAACATTAACTGGCCACCAATATATATTGACACTGTGCACACTCACTTCTGACCTTTTGAAATAATCAGATATTTTGGACTGTATGATCTCTCAATAGGCTAAGACGGAGTTGTACTTGAAAGATTCCGATTTTTCTTTTAGAAGTGGACAACTTAGCTGTGCAGTAGGATTTGGAATATAACTCCTGAGGTTGAGACTTTGGTCTGCCCCAAAGGGATGGAAAAGATGCCAAGGGTCACAGGAAAATGGCCTGCCACAGCTAGGTCAGGATGACCAGGAGTGGAGTGGGGGCAGTTGATGATCTTCACTTTATCTGACCTGGCTCCAAGTGTAATTTCATATTTGTATTTGTTGTCCCGATATTAAACCTTGGGGCCCAGAGATAAAAAAGGCCTTAACCTGGACCCTTACTGGCACTTCTGCTGCTGCTGTCAGATTGTGCATTGTTTGACCCACAGTAACAGTCATCTCATTTTATTTAGGTTGGGTTGAGTGAAATGTGCCGTTTGGGCAAGTTTCTTTTGAATTTTATGCCTCCAGTCATACGAGCAAGTGTTTATGGTCTCAAGGTGTGTCTGTTGAACAGCGTTTCTTTAAAATTATATGTTGTGGTTTTGTTTTGTTTTTAAGTTGTAGTACATGCTTAGTAAGAATAAATCTGATCTCCTTTTCAGCCACCAGCCGCCTCTTCTTCTTAGGGATAGGATGTGCTTGTTTTAGAGTATATTTTTAAGATGAAGTTTTATGAGTTTTACACAGATTTTTTCTGGCCAGCATTTTTACTTTGGAAGAATGAGAATTATTTAAGTGAGTTCCCTTTTGCTCCTAAATATTCTTGTTTTATATTAAGTTTTTAGTCCATAATATATTTTAATTCCATGTGTGCTTGGAAAAAACTAATCTGAATCTCTTAGACTTCATTGACTATGTTTTTGGCATGTTTATCCTTTTTATCATTTGCTTATTATGTTATATTATCCTACTTTTAAAACTTAGGTAACTATAGGTTTTGGTTTCATGATTTAACTATGCAGTGAAGAGAATAGTTTAAAAAGTCATCCATCCTGAGTCCTTTTTCTGAGCACTGTCTACAGAGCAGTGCAGCTGATAAGCAATCAATAACTAAATGGTGGTGGTGGTTTATGAAGCTCCAGGAGTTCAGACTTAAGTGAAGATAACATGATACAGATATCCACTGTCAAGTTTGTAAGGACTATTAGTTACAGTAGCTGTAATGTTCATCAAATTTAAAAAAAACAAAACCTTGACCAAATATTTATATTGTGTCATAAATGGGCATTCCTTCATGGGAGATAGTTTATGTAGTCATCCCATTTCTTTTTCCAGGAAAGGAAAAGACAGAATAGCCCATGATTCTGTGATTTTTTTTTAAGTTATTAAAGTCTTAATGTTGATCATTGGCTGGCACCATTGAATGTCTACTAAGTGTACATTAGAAAATGTGAGTCAAAAATTAGAGATAGGGTATGTAGCAAAAGTTTCTTAACATCAAGCAATTTACATTTTTTTTATAGGACACCCATCATGTTTGAAATTCTGTCCAGAATTAACAACAAATGTAAAGGCCTTAAGATGGCAGTGTATTGAATGCAAGACATGTAGTGCATGTAGAATCCAAGGCAAAAATGCAGTAAGTTCATATTTTAATAGTTAAATGATCTTTTATTAGTATTCACTTTTTTTGTGAGTGGGAGAGGGGACAAATCTGTAGTCCAATAGCTGCTTTTCACTTTAAATGTTTCACTGCTATAATTTATTGATATTTTTCTTTTTTATTCCAGAATGCATGGAGGGAGATGAGATACCTTAATATTTAGACTAGTTTTGTTGATTATTGTTAATTTAGTAATACATTGTTTGAATGACATTTTTCACTTGGGTTAGCCATTATTCAACTTATTTTGTGTTGTATTACAGGATAATATGCTTTTTTGTGATTCTTGCGATAGAGGGTTCCACATGGAGTGCTGTGACCCACCGCTTTCCAGAATGCCAAAAGGTGAACTTTCAAAATCTTTGAAACCTTTCTTTAGAAGTTTCATAGGCATTCACCAAAGTCATCTTTATGTTAGAGGTCTCAGAAGTAGGCATAGTGCATGCTTAGTTACACAGTTTGCCCCTTCTACCTGATATATTAAAGTTTGGAATGGAATATAAGTATGGGCTTCATTTGGTAGGTAACATGACCAATAGATTTGTTAAGTTCAACGCAGTTAAGGAAGAGGAGCACCAAAGGCTGCTTGCAACTGTTGAGAGCAAATCTTTCATCGCTGCCTTAAAACTATTCGCCTCCTTCCCTTCAAATATCTGAAACCAGCATCTTAATTAGGTGAGGTGGTTTTCTGTGGCAGTTTAGAGTTTTATTGGTCAAAACTCAGTTTCTTCAAGGTTGAAAGGTCAAAACTCTTCCGTATTGCACGCCACAGATGAGCACAGGGAAGTGTGGTCCAGTGAAAAGAATGCTGGATTTGAAGCCAGAGAGCTTGCTTTCAAATTCCAGCTCTGCTACATAGTACCTGTGTGACCTTGGAGAAGTGACTTGTCTTGTCTGGGCCTCAGTTTCCTTGTCTCTAAAAGGAAGGAATTGAACTAGATGACCTCTGGGAGGCTCTTGAGCCTTGAGGTTATAAATCTAGGATCCTAATTATACATTAAAATATCTTCTAGTATCTGTGATGACAGTATAATTATGTCTCTGGTTCCTGCAGAGTAAAGAGGTATTGAAGTTTCCAATCAATTAATTGGTATTTTAGGATCGTAGATTTGAGTTAGAAGAAACCTTAGAGGCTCTCTGGGCTGACTGCTCAGTATTATAAACAAGTAAACTGAGGCCCAGAATGATTAAATCATGTGTCCAAGGTTAGATTGATAGTAAGAAGGGTGAACCTTTGTCTTCTGACTCCAAATGCAGGACGACAAAACACTCATGGCCAAGTCTGTCTCATGGCATGAATGTTCCTCTGTCATAGATGGGGGGGGGGGAGAGAGAGAGAGAGAGAGAGAGAGAGAGAGAGAGAGAGAGAGAGAGAGAGAGAGAGAGAGATGATAGCTTAGTCCAGCATTCTTTTTGTAGACTGTGCTTTCTCAGTTTGTAATACGGAGACGCAAATATTTGTTTTGCTGATTTTAATTTGTTTATAATTTTCGGTGATAAAGCAGGTATCTGTATAAATTCATTAATCTTAAGGTACCTTTTCTACTCTCCCCCAAAAGACTAAAGGCTTTTAATTTCTGATGAGAGAGGTAGATAGAGAAGTAGGATAAGTCTGGGAATGGGACATAGGGTTTTGGGAGCTAGATTATGAAGGCCCTCTCATGTAAGGACAGACTATTGCCATCTCTTTACCAGTATTTATTTTTTCAAGCTGGGGAAATTGACGTGATGGTGGCTTCTTTCTCAGAAATGTAAAAAAGGGCAAATGTCCTTTTTTCCCATTTTTCCTGAAGTAAAAGCTCCCCACAGCAACCACCTTGTGTGCAACATGTTAAAATTACAGTCAATGTTTAATATCAACAATCTAAAATAAGTTATATTTATTTTTTTCTAATACATATATATATATATATTTAGGGATGTGGATTTGCCAAGTCTGCAGACCAAAGAAAAAGGGAAGAAAACTACTTCATGAGAAAGCTGCACAAATTAAACGACGATATGCAAAACCTATTGGACGACCGAAAAATAAACTAAAACAACGAATGTTGTAGGTTGAATTCTTATGAGAAAAAAACTTTTCATAGTGTGCTTTCCAGAATATCACCCTTTGGGGATCCGAGATAGAGGAACATAAGCACCTTAGGAGCCACCTGTCTGTGTCAGTGTCAGTGCCTAAAGCCTTAATGCAAAATGTTATGTGTCCTGTATCAACCGTGAAATAGTTTGGAAAGTGACCAGAGAATTACAGTTGGCATTTTGTGGTCTTTCTTTTGGCAAAAACCATGAGGCTTAAAAACAGTGAAAGAGAGAAAGAGTCCAAGAAGGGGCAAGAAAATAAAGCTGCATTGATTAGCTTACTTTATCGCTGGCTGTTATATAAATATTATTGGGTAAATCTTAAATCAAGGTCATTATCTGAACTGAGGCCATTCTTACAGCCATTTCCTTTTGACTGAGTCCAAGTTTTATGAAACGAATCCTTTTATTAAGGGGATTTGTTCTGTGAAGTTTGGATTCAGTCACAGGGCAGTACTTAGAGGGCCACACATGGCCTCAAGGCCCCAAGTTCCCCACCCTTGAGCCAGTACTATATCTTAAAGGCTGCCTGCTTCTGTTCCTGATTCCCACAAATAAGTGTTTCCAGAAAGCTTCAGATATATCACAGCAGACCCAGAGCCATCAAAGAGTGGACAGAACCAGTTGTCACATCGTCCCACATGGGGTGCCCCTTTGTTTTAAGTTACCTGAAATCTTAAATCTAAATTAATTTCAAGATGATAACCACACGCCCTTTGCTGCATTGCTTCCAAAGCATGGCAAAGATTTTAGTGAAGATGTTTTTATTTTATGGTATTCTAGATTTGTTTCTAAATTCTTATATGGATTAGTTCTGACTTGTTTTGTTAGGAATTTCACGTGGATGGGCAATGCATTTTTAAAAAACCTAATTCTCCTGTAAGTATGCTACCAGCTTTAGTTAGTTAAATGCCTCACTTGTTAGAATGTCCTTCTAAGCAGGAAATCTGCTCCTAGGGGACAAGTGGCAGTTATGGGCTAAGAACAGGAAACAAAGTATCAAAATCTTTTGACTCATGTGCTGTCTACTCTTCTGTCTTGATTACATTTGGAGTTCATTCACAAGAGTTAGTAATTTTCAGGAGACTTTATTAGAACCTATTGATGTCTCCTCTGAGTGTAGGTGTTTGCCAGATTCTAGAGGTAAATGTAACATATTTTGAAGAAAATCTTCCTTATGTTAGCATTATTTGAAGCAGAAATTATATGTTTTTACATTCATCTTTCAAAACCATTGTTCCCTAAATGAGACTGTGTGCTAAGACTACAGTTTTAAAAAATGGGATCTTATCTTCCTAAAGAAAGGGTATAACTAAAAATTATATTTGGCACCAGACCTAATTTGGTAGAAAACTGTCTCATGAGCTCTTAGAATCTGTACAAATTAGCCAGTGTCTCCACTTATTGAAATCTTTTAGAAGCTCAAAGTGTCAGCTCCATATTGGTTAATAATATTTTAAAATCTACTTATTTCAAGGGAGGGATACATTTTGGGAAATCTATTGTAGATTTCCAGCCCAAATTTGAGGGTATCTTTTGGCAGGGTCAATTATTTGTCTAACATTCCCAGTGCATTTTCCAGTACTGAAAATGATCTTCAACATTATCTGTATTTGATTTTAGAGGGGCTCAGGACACTTTTAGATCAGTACTGCTCAGACAGGAGTCCTCAGCTATTCCCATTTCCAACCATTAGAATATATTAATTTTATCTTCTCACTTCAAATGATAAGAATCTTAGTGAAAGCTTCTTTTGGGGAGGAGAGAAAATGTATTGTTTTCTCCACTCAAACAGCTATAGTTTAAACTCTCATCTCCTGTTGCATGGTTTATTGCAAGAGCCTCCTAATTGTTCTCTGTGTCTCCTGTCTATCGTCTCTCCAATCTGTTCTCCACATTGCTGCCAAGTTGATAACTCTAAAACGCATGACCATGGTCCCTCTCACCCTCGAAGCACTGTTTTTCAGTAGTTTCCTGTTGCCTCTAGGGCAAAATGCAGATTCATCAGCCTGGCATTTTAAAGCCTTTCCCATTACTCTCTACCTTTCCAGACTTGACTTCCTATCATTCCCCTTCAGATACTCTGTTGTGCAGTGAGGCACTGTGTATATGGTGGAGGGAGCGCTGGCTGGTTTCCCAAGGTCCTGGGGTTAAATCTCACTCCTGCTATTTAACTCTGCCAGTGGGGAGTTGGGCAAGTCACTCAACTTCTCCGAAGCTCGTTTTACTCATCTGTAAAAGGGACGAGTTGACCTAGGAGGCCTCTGTGGTCCGGCATGGTATCTGTGTCTGGTATAGAATATTCCACCTTTTCTGTCAGTGCTTTTATGCAAGTCATTCACCAGTCCAGGAGTGCACATAGTAGGTGCTTCATAAATATTTCTTGACTTGACTTGATTTGCAGTTGTTTCAGTTAAAAAAAGTATGATGCTCCACTACTCTCTTGGGTATCAGTCTCTCTGTCCAATAGTCTCCAGCTAAACCAGTGATTTCTTTTAGAGTAAGCTTTGTGATGCAAAAACAAAAAATATCAATAAAAAAATTTTTGAGAGTAAACTTTGGCACTCACAGCACCTTTGGCTCACTGCGTGGCTGTGTTTACATATCTGGCAGCAGACTTGTGGGCTAGAATGACCCCACCATTATGTAAAGTGGCACTAGTCATGAATTGCTGTTCGTGTGCACAGTCGTGTTGTTGACATAGATCTCTGTGTGGATCACATGATGCCAAGTGTGTGGAAGTAATCTTTGTAAATGGATTGCCCCATCAAATTGTCCATGTCATATATCTGGTTTTCTGTAGCTTGCTTCTCACTGAAAATTGTTTCAGAGTTTTCTGTTCCTGTTTATCTCTTTTTTTAATCAGCATTTTGTGCTGTAATTAATTTTCTCCTGAAAGGGAATTTTGGTGGTTTTCTTGTTTTCCTGAATAGATTTTATTTGCCATTTTTAATCTTTTACTGATTTCTTTGTTTTAAAGTGATAAATGGATGGACATATTCAAATTATGCAGAATAATCAAAGTAGTTTTTAAAATCGAAGTTTACTATAGATTTCATAAACTCATTGTTTTGCTTTTGAAGAACACATCTCTGTATTCCTTAATACTACAATACAGACATTTCAAAGAAATCAAACCATCTAATTTTGTAATAGTAGAAAGCATAACTCTCTATTTAGTGATAATTAAGTTTAATTTTCTGTCAGTGTACTTAAAATTATTTTTACTTATATCACCCTTACGGTCATATATGCTGAAAACTTCCCCATCTTTTCTTCTTATATATGTTACGTAGGTTCCCTGAGGAATCATGGTGTTTGACAGTTGTTTACCTTTGCCTTTACAGAAATGTCTGGTTAGTGATATCGAAAATGTTTTCAGCATCCTAGTTCAGTTTTTTTTTTAATTTTGAGCACATGAAATAACACATAGGCTGTATTAGAATTATTGGTTAGTATTGTTGTTACTTGTTACTTTTAATATTGATTTTGTTTTCCAACTTTTTACCTAGGTCTGTAACCAGTGATGAAGGATCCATGAATGCATTCACAGGAAGGGGGTCACCTGGTAGGGGTCAAAAGACTAAAGTGTGTACCACACCTTCATCTGGTCATGCTGCATCTGTGAAGGACTCAAGCAGCAGATTGGCTGTTACAGACCCCACTCGGCCTGGTGCCGCCACCAAAATCACCACCACCTCCACCTACATATCTGCCTCTACACTTAAAGTTAACAAGAAAACCAAAGGGCTCATTGATGGCCTTACTAAGTTTTTCACACCATCACCCGATGGTCGCAGATCACGAGGTGAAACAATAGACTTTTCAAAGCACTATCGTCCAAGGAAAAAGGTCTCCCAGAAACAGTCATGCACTTCTCATGTGTTGGCTACAGGTACCACACGAAAGCTAAAACCTCCACCTTCTGCACTTCCACCCCTAATCCCCATCTCTGGCCAGAGCCCCGGTTCACAAAACTCTAGTACTCCCGCTTCTAATTCTCCCCAGAGTTCTTCTAGTCAGTCAAGCGTGCCCTCCTTTAGCAGCCTTGCCAAGAACAGTCAGCTGAAGGGACTTTTTGATGGACTTTCTCATATTTATACTGCTCAGGGACACCCAAGTTCTGCACCACCCAAACGTTTGCGTCGTAAACCTGAATTCTCTTCCACCACAAAACCTAATGCCCATTTCTGTGGGAAGAAAAATAATAGAAGTAGGTTTATTTCTCACTCCTCCGTGTCCTCTGGCTGGGGACTGTCTAGAGGACGTATTTTTAAAGCAGTTGCTCACTTCAAGCGAACAACTTTCCTTAAAAAGCACAGGATGATAGGCAAATTAAAGTATAAAGTGACCCCTCAGATGAGAACCCCCTCACCAGGGAAGGGGAGCTTGGCAGACGGAAGGATTAAACCTGATCAGGATTATGGTAAGCAAAAGGTCAAAGCTCCAACCAAATCTACATCCTGTCCCTCTCCTCCCCACTGAAAAAAAAAATAATAAACTAGTTCTTATTTGTCACATGGGCCTTAGCTATTTCTCTTGTTCTGACTTCACTTTCATAAAGAAGCAATGAAATGTAGACCTTTTTCTGCTGCTAACTAAACCTCCAAAATGTTTGTCCAACTAATACTTTCATACATTCTATTATTTATTTTCATCTAGAGTGACACAAAGACCCCCCACCCCCATGCCCTCATTGCATTACTTATGGCTTTGTAGTAGTACTGCATGAATAGCAACTGTCATTGCTACTGCCCTGCGCCTTCTCAGAGGTTGTGCAGTCCTTAGCTCTGGCTACTGCTGCTGCTTCCAGGCGCGTGCTTCAGCTCAGTATCTTTCTCTATTCCATTGTCTTTTCATGACAAATTCCATCCTACTTCAATCTTGAGAAAATCTCATCTGTGATAACATGAAATATACTTTGGGGTATGGTGTTTTTCAGCTTTGGTTTTTATTTTTTTTTTAGAAAGATGTTTTCATAAATTTCAGCTAACAGATTGACATCTTATAATTTTTGCTACTTTTTCCTAAAATTGCCATTTAAGGGAGAATTAGATTTGATTATTTAAAAGCTAATGCTTGAGGTATATCAGAAAAAGATCAGTATAACCACTGATCTAGAATAATTTCATATGTTTTTCCCAAAAAAGTCAATTGAGGCAGGGAAAAAAAAAACAGGAAAGATGCTGGTCAGTTCAAGCAAAGTTTGGATAAAACAGGTAAAAGGGTAAAACTGTTCCTGAATCTGTGTGTTATACCAAGAGTAAAATTTCATACATCTCAAAACAAAAGGGACAAGTTAGAAAATTCCAAAATGCTGCTTACTGTGCTGATTGAATGCCATTCTGGTAGTTTAAGGAGCATTTTAAAGATTCATATCAGTGAATATACTTTCTGCTGGTTTTTAATAACAGATACCGAAATCAAAATAAGCATCAAACAAGAAGGTACAGATGTAAATGTGGTTGGAAGCAAGGATTCTGTTACGGAAGAAGATTTGGATGATTTTAAACAAGCCCAGGAACTTTCCTTGGAGGTAAGATGTAGGTGGCGGCACTTCATCCACAAGTATTTGATGATAATAATAATAGCTAGCATTTATATAGTATCTGTTATATGCAAAGCTTATAATATTAAGCACTTTATTAAGCACGTTAGAAATATCATCTCATTTGATACTCATAAAAGCCCTGGGTGGTAGATGCTATTGTTATTCCCATTTTACAGGTGAGGAAACTGAGGCAGACAAAAGATAAGTGACTTGCCCAGGGTCACAGAGCTAGTAAATGTCAGAGACTAGATTTGAACTCAAGTCTTCAGGCCCAGCACTGTATCCACTGAACCATCCAGCTTGCCTTGGTGTGGTTTGAAATTGAAGTTTCAACTTCTGAAGAGAATTTACCATTTTTTTTGTCTCCGAGATAATTATCTTCAAACCCCTCTGTACTTCAAAATAAACTCTTCATTCATGCTTTTTGTGTGAATGGTGATGTATTGATGGCATTCTCAGAGTAGACTGGAACCCTCCACTAGTCGGTTGAATTAGGCCAAATGAGCGATAGATGAAGCTTGAAAGGTGAACATTCAGGTGAGGTTAGATTACTGATTCCTCTCTACTAAAGCAAAGAGAAGATATTAAGTCTTAAACACCAAAGACTGCATAGTAGAGATGCTCCTTCAGTACTGATGGAGGGAGGTCATTATGAAAAGTGTCCATTGTATCCATTTTTCTTTGGATTTCATTTGTATTGCAGGATTGTGTTTTATGACTAATTATTGAGTAATAATAGCAGCTCACTTGTACACCTAGTGCTTTAGAATTTACAAAGCATTTTCTGTGCAGCAGCCCTGTGACATGGGTAGTTCCCATGTTGCTGTCCTCTCCACTTCTCAGAGGAAGAAGCTGAGGTTCAGAGAACCTCCAGTGACAGCCAGCACAAATGGAACAGCAGAGTTCAGGGCTCCCTCAGCTCCACCACATTGTCCTAGATGATCAGATCTGTTGCTTTCCTGGATGGCCTGGCCAGAGGTTGACACTTGTCACACATCAGTCTTATAATTTGATGTTCTTAGGGTGGTAAGCTGTGGGCCACTGCACAGTGTGTGTTTTTATTGCCACCTGCCAGTTTTTATTTTCAGATAATAATAGCTAACATTTATATAGCACTTTAAGGTTTGCACAGTGCTTCGTATACTATCTCATTTGATCCTCAGAGCTCTGTGAGATAGGTGCTATTCTTATCCTAGTTTGATAAATGAGGAAAGAGGCTGGGGGGAAAAAAAAGGTCTCACAGACACAGGTAGTATCAGAGGCAGGATTTTCCAAGTCTCACAATCTATGCACTTTGTCACTACTACCTCCTAAGAGTTTGAAGGAATCCTTAAAGCACATGGCCTTGTTAAGGTTAGACTTTTCTCCATAATTTCTCCTTTAAATATTTTCCTTTGTTTCAATAAACTATTATTATTCCTAGGCTTTGTTATTTGGTCTGAAACTAACTTGCTTAAGTGACTTCTGCCTTTTCACAGTGATTATAGATCTGTTAAGCATTTTTACATTCTTAAATTACTTTAAATTATTTTTTTTTAACCATGCCCCTCCTTAGGCTGTGGTATTACTGTCTCTTTGGGTAAGAGAAAAGCAAATTTCCCCTAAAACTAGCCCAAATCTTGTCATCTTGTACTCTGGTCAGAGTAGCTCCTGTTGTTATATTTAAATATGAAGATGAAGAAAGATCTATAAGATGCCCTTCAAACTGACTTGCCCAGCATAGATGTGTGTGGCATCAGCCAAATCATTGTATCACTCATCTTATTTAAATATATATTGGCTTCCTTTTGCACCCGTTTAATACAACATTAGCACTACAGTAGAACAGCTTAATACTATTGCCTAGATTAGCAGGGTTTTGGTTTTTTTCCCATTGTAGTGTTGTGGGTAATATAAATAAAGTTCATTATAACTTCAAAAGAACTTGTAAACACATCTGACAGCATGAGAATTCAGAAAGATAATTTTGTGAAAAGAATAGTGAGTACTATGTTTTGTATTCTTTTAAAGTAGGCATCAGAAAAAAAAATTTTAAAGAAAAATAAATAAATTAGGCATCAGTACATTTTTCTGGAAAATTTACAGATAAAGCAAAAGAATTCTCTTTTATTTATTTTTTTACTTTTAATAAACATTTTATTTACTGGCCAACAAAGTAGTTCTAAAACTGTAGCTTCTGGAAGAACCACTTGTTTTTGCCTGTCTTGTACCTTTTCTCAAGTTTAACCTTGGCCTCCCTCCTCGCCTTATGTTTTAGTGCAGGGTCACGGAATGGATCCTTGTTGACAACCGTTTTGTCCCATGGGATATCCACAGAGTATCTGGTGGGCATGAGGTGGTTGTAGATATAAACTTTCATGAAGAACTTGATTTTTGATCTCTTCATCAAAAATTATCTTCTTTTTGCCCATTGCTGCAGTCATTTTGTGAGGGTAGCGGTCAGTACCTGCCACCAAGGCATGGCTGTAGGGCCTGGCGGGCCTGTTGGAGGTCCCATCATCAGTGTTCTTGACAATGACGGCTTTGCTCCCAGAGTACCGCCTGGCCAGGACCAGCACCACCTTCCTGGGTTTCATGAACTTGCCCATTTCGACACGAAGTGGGTCGCTCCTAGAGCCAAAAAGCAGAATTCTCTTTATTTTAATTGCCCTACCTCTCAGGGATGTTATGAGGATGAAATGAGATCATATTTGTAGAGCTCTTAGCACAGTGCCTGGAACATAGTAAGCACTTAATAAATACTTCCTCCCTCCCATCCTTTAAATTTTTACTTTTTTTTTCCTCCTAACAGAAAATAGGATGTAAAAATGGTGTGGAATCCAATGGACGGTATCCTTCGGTAATAGAATTTGGAAAGTATGAAATCCAAACCTGGTACTCTTCGCCTTATCCACAGGAATATGCAAGGTAGTGTAGAAATAACCTTGATAAATAAGTATACTTTGTATAAGCAAAAGAAGCATCACTTTTTTTAAAGAAAGTCTATAGAAAACCAAATCAAATTTGATGATTGATTCTAACAGCTCTCTTGCCTCTCCTGATACCTTTTCTAGATTCAAAAATTCAAGATTCAAAATTATTATTTAAATGATTTGTACTTATTATTTGCATGTTTATTGTAAACTGTGTCTTCTGGCTACTGGACCATAGTGTTTCTATGGTTCATTGGACAGATATCTCTTTGACATGAAACAAGGTATGAAAATTTTTTTTGCCCTTGGAAAAGTCTTTGAAAATATATTTGCCACCAGATTTCCTTTTCTAATTAGAATGCTTACATGTGTGTTCACATATACATATATGTGTGTGTGTGTGCATGTGCGCGCACACACAAGCATACACATTTGGTACTTAATCTTAGGTTTTCTAGATGTCCTTATAGAGATATAGCAAAAAAGTACCTTCCTTAATTTTTATTCCTGGAACCATTTTTGGTCAAGTAGTTTAAAAGAAAACCTTGACATTGGTTTTAGGTATGATGAACTTTAAGACTCCTAAATAACTAACTGCTGGGCTCTGTTTACTGTGAATAACAAATGCTCTGAAGTGGTCATGTGTATTGGAATTTGCATTATTCATAGTTACAGTTATGTAAAATATAGTTATTTGTTTCAGCCCAAGGAAAATATTCAGTGTAAATTCAAATAATGTGACCACTTCTAGGGATATATTGTTTTCACTAATCAGGACCTGGCTGTATAAGAGGGCTGGACCAAACAGCCACTTATCAGTCTATGCACAAGTAATATATTTATATTTCTCAACTCATGGTCTTCAAGAACTTCCAATAAAAACAAGCTTGTGTTCCTTCTGGATTTCTGCCTTCTTTCTACCATATCAGCATCTTCCTCGTCACCTAATTGGAATGAACCAGAAGTGGGTATGCTAGTACCTAATGCATCAAATTGAGTGAAAAGATCTGCTATTAACTGAGAGTATTATCTTAGACAATTGTAATAAACTCCTCCAGCCCTTAATTTTCCCACTCTTGACAGAAGGGTAATCATATGTATTATAGTTTGAGATCTCTGTGTAAAAGTTACCATGTTACGTACAAGCTTTGAGATTGCTATTGTTTATGTCACTATTATCTCACAGTTCCTGAACCCTAAAGTGTGTAAAAGTGCTTGTTGTTTGGAACTGGAGACATCCTTGTATTATAGGTAAAGTATAAGTACTGTGGTTGTTTATATTTGCATTGTGAGCAACAATGATCCAAAGAGGGGAGAAAACTTGTCCCAAGCCACTGGAAGAGTTAGTGGTGGAACTATAAAATAAATTCATGTCTTTGGATTTTTATTTCTTCCTTCTCTGTATTAGGGTAAAAAGTTATCTTCTCTATTGGTGGAAATGGAGACATCTCAGTTCTAGAACCTCCTTACCTCTTAAGTTATACACAATATTTGATAAATTAATTTATAGCCATTCTCTCAATAAAAACAATCATGTTACCGCCATCGACCTTTTTAAGCTAACAGCAACATTGATTGTGTAGTATTGGAATTTGAAAAAGAATGTCACTATTGCCAGAAACTGGCCTCTGACTCAGTGCTAACCTTTTGGCTAAGATTTAGTTAAGGTGGCTTCAAATCTGTAAATATCCTTTTGTCTAAAACATTCCTAAGAATATATTTAGTTTGGATAGTAGAGATGGCAAATATTACCAGTTATGTCATGAATGAGTTAACTTTTCCTTTACCTCACTGTCTGTCTGGGTATCATTGTTTAGACTACACTGTAGGAAAGCCTTTAGAAAAATTGAACAAGATTTAATTTTCAAAACTGACCAAAAATGCTAACTCTCTGATTTTTAAACTTCAACAGATTACCAAAGCTTTACCTGTGTGAATTCTGTCTTAAATACATGAAAAGTAAAAACATTTTGTTAAGGCACTCAAAGAAATGCGGATGGTTTCATCCTCCAGCAAATGAAATCTACAGAAGGAAAGATCTGTCAGTATTTGAGGTAGGCATATGTAAAATGAAAACCCCATTTTAAAATGAAGTTAAACATGTACTTGTTTACCTTCTAGAAGGCAAAAATTGTACGGAATGTTGATACTAAGGTTCACATTTTTCTCTAGTGGGAACTTGTCCACTTTTTGGAATTATTCTAGCATTTAAACCAGTTTTTCCCAGCTGCTGGAATACCTTTTTACTATCACAGTGATTCCTTTCCCTTTCCTGTAGCAATTATAATTCATGTCTGCAAAAAATCAAATTTACCAGTGAATTTCTGACCTTAGTAATTTTTCCATTAATTGTTTCTTTGGTGATAGAAATTAGTCTTAACCAGCAGCTGTAGCATATCTCCAGTTAATACTGCCTTCGAAGAGATTTCCCTCTCCAGAGAGTTGTGCAGCTGTAGACATCGCCCTTATCCACAGCCACCTGTGTTCCCAGCCATTTCCTGGCAGCCTATGTGGCCTTCTTGACAAGAATGCTGCAGCTGGTGGAAACTCTCCCGTCTCTGTGGATGGCCACCCCGGCAGAATTCTGTTGGTCACAGTCATCCCATGTGACTATGTGGCTGTAAACTCAGGCAGTTTTAAGAAGTTGACTTAATGGAGAAAAAAAATTTTAATCTTAGTTTTAGGATTTCAGTAAAATAGGGAAGTTTGAAAGAGAGTTAAGGGGAAATGATAATCATTTTGTTTTGGACATATTGAGTCGGATATACCAGTGGTACGTCTGGTTAGATGTGTACAGCAGACAGTAAGTAGAGTGCAAGAAAGGAATGAGAGAGAAAGAGATAGAGAGGGAGGGAGGGAGAGGGAGATTGACAAACTGCCATGGAGGTGATAACTGAACCTGTAGGTGCTGATGGGATCACTAAGAGATTGTAAAAAGAGAAAAAAAAATTACTCAGGACATTGCCTTTGGAGAAATCCATACATATCTGGCAAGATTTGAATGACATCCAAGGAGAGGAGACTTGCAGTGGGTGATCAGAGAGGTTAGACGATAATCTGGAGAGAATAGTGTCTCTGAAGCCAAGGAAGGAGGAGAGAGTATCTCAGAGGGAGGTACAGGTAACCATGTCACCAATTCCAGAGAAGTCTAATGGCATGAGACTTGAAGAAAGGAAAACCAATTTAATAGTTAAAAGATTATTGGTAATGTGGGGAAGAAGAATTTCATTTGAGCGGTGGGACTCCAGGGGTTGAGAAGGGAGATAGGAGGTGAGGAAGCAGAGGAGCAGATGTGGGTGAGTAATCTAGGAATGTGACTTTGGGATTAGAGACCTAGAACTAAGGGACCTCAAAGTCACTGAATTGAACCTCTCATTTTAGAAGCGAACAGGTGAATGTCTGAAGAATTTATACACCTTGCCTAGAATCACACAGAGAGATAGTTGCTCAGTCAAGATTTGAATCCAATTTCTCTTACTCCAAATTCAATGTTTTTCAGGGTACTTCGCTGCTCAAGAGAGAACATAAAGAAAGTGATAGGTCAGGGTTATGGCCAGGTGAAGGAAAGGTTTCTTGTGGACCTTGGTTATATTTTTATACAGTCAAGAAGGAGCCAGTAGCTAGAAGCAAATTGAAGATGAAAGAGAATGAGGAAATGATGAAGGAAGCAAGCTCTTGGAGGGTATGAGACCAAGGGTACAAGTAGAGAGATTGGTCTTTGTTAGGAGAAGGGCGATCCTTATTGAATGGAACAGAGAACAATAGAATGGAGCATGATGCAGAATGGTTTTGAGGTGTGCTGACAGCACATGATCTTTGTTTTATTAAGGGTAGTAGGAGGTGAGATCTACAGAGAAGAAACGGGTAGTATAGGAAACTTTCAGAAAGAAGAGAAGGAGGGGCAGCTAGGTGGCACAGTGGATAGAGCACCGGCCCTGGATTCAGGAGGACCTGAGACACACAGCATTTACTAGCTGTGGGACCCTGTGCAAGTCACTTAACCTTGTTGCCTAGCCAAAAAAAAAAAAGGAGAAGAGAAGGCTTGGAATAGCCATTGTGGGGATTAACTTAAAGAATCAGTTTGGGAAGATAAAAAAGGATTATTATCATCAAGCAGTAAGGGCCCTGTTGAGATTATGTAATATTAATTTGCAGTGGACCCAGTTAGCAGAGGTATGATGACTTTCTTCCGCAACAGTCAAGAGCACCCAGGTCAAAAGGAATGAGCCTTTGTTAAGCACTTAATATGTTCTAAGCACTGGGGTTACAGTTATAAAAGCAAAGAAATCTCCTGCCTTCAGTGAGCATACTTTCTAATAGGAGAGACAATGTACGTAGGGAAGTAAAAGTGAGCTAGTGAGAGTGGGAATTTAGGGGGACTAAATTGTCATAGCCCTTCAAGGAATAATGGTAGTGTTGATTTGATCATGATTCAAGAACTGAAGAGGAGCTGGGTTATCAAAAAGTAGACTAGGGAGCATAATGGAGCAGGTGAGACATTCATCAGTGGGAGGGAGTGGTGGAAGGGAAGGCCCAAGTGGAAGTTCCTTAGATGAAAGGGTTAAAGTTTCTAGGGCACTGCCTATATGTAATAAGCAGGGAGAGAGAGCGTACTCTAGGGCAGAAATTCCTTAGCTGAAAGGGTTAAAAGGAGGCAACAGGTAGAGATAACCCAGAGCTGGGATCTGGGAAGAGTATGAATATCAGTAAGAAAAAGGAAGCGAGGGGTTAAAGGGCATGGGACAATAGTTGGAGTAGTTTACTATAGGGTTAGGACTGTCAGTTGGAACAGAAAGTGATGTGCTAGAAAGGACTAGGAGAGAAAAAGAGGGATTGGAGGTCATAGGAAGTCCGAAGAAATTGAGGAGGAATGAGGCTGAGGGTCTGCTCCAAGGGAGGAGCTTCCCCACCGTGTGCAAGGCTGCAGAATTAATCATACCCAATCACAAAGGACTTTACAGTTTACGAACTGCTCTACATACATTAAGTCATTTGTGCCAAGGGGAAGAGCTTTTCATATTTTATTCAGGAGTAGCTTGGAACCAGTGCTCAAAGGACAGAATCAGGCCGAGTGACTTTTTTAGTATGAAAGTTGATTTGTGTAATTTGTCATTAATAAAGTTTGAGAGGGTTACACTGAATAATTTTTCAACTCCTTCCAACTCCTAATGTCCTATGATTCGTACTAAAACTATAATCTGTTTTTTAAAAAATCAAACCACCACCTTTTTTGTAACAAGTTAGTAATAATAATAGCTGCCAACATGTAGCTGAGAGAGCCAGGCTTGGAGTAGGGATGGCCTGGTTAGGGTCCAGGCTTGCCTTGACGTGGGCGAGCTCTGTGACCTGTGGCTGATCATTTAACTTTTCAGGTTCCTAGACATTGTCAGTCACCCAATAAGTATTTCCTAATCCCTTCTAGGTATCAGACACCCTTCTGAAGAAGGATTTCCTAACTGGAAGTTTTATATACCAGGGAAATCACAGGCCTTCCCCTCCCTTTAGAAAATAAAAAAGCTGATATATTTCAGGTTTGCACAGCATTTTACCTACATTATCCCTTTTGATCCTCACAGTAATCCAGTGAGAGACATATTACTCTTATGCCCATTTTATAGTTAAGAAAACTGAAATTGAGATTGAGTGACCTTTCCATGGTTGTACAACTATGAAATATCAGAAGCCAGTTTTGAACCTAGTTCTCCCCTGACTCTAAGAGTAACATACTTTGCACTCTACCAAACTGCCCCTTAGAACATCTTAAACGATTTGTGCTACCTGTTAAAGAAGCTGACCATTTTATCTACCACTCTCTAAAGCCTATTACCTCATTCATATATGCCATCACTGCAAAAAGCATTCATACTCCCAGCATTCTACCAGAATTCGTGGTGTCCATCCGCACACCTTTGGTGTTCCTTACACCTGGTATAAGGTGCTCTGGCTAATGATAACTCATATTTCTGTATGCAGCTTTTTCAGGAATGTAAATACTTTTATTTGTGTTATAGAGGAGAACCTAGATTTCAGTCTAGCACATTTTGTTCTATCTTCTGCTGCCAGAGAAAAAGCTGTCCAGCCAAATAAATAAAGCCTCCTCTAGTTAAGGAGCAAATTGTCTCCTCTGTGCCTGATACTTATATCTGATTATGTCGCTCTATATATGAGCTGGGTCTTCTCCAAGGGAACCCATTACAGGAGTGCTAAAAATAATTTCTGCAGTAAGAGAGTTTGTATGGTCCACTGGAGACCACAGAATGGTCCAGTTCATTGTTAAAGACTTCTAGTTAGCAAATACCCATTCCTCTCAAGAAGAACGCTGGGGAAATTTGTAACTCCATTTGATCTAAGAAATTGGCACCCTTGCTTAGCCTCCTGTCCATAACCGTCAGTATCCCAGTATGATTCTTTTTATTTTGAACAAAAGTAGACTGTAATCACGGTACTTATTCTAGGTTGAAATTCATCTCACTTTCTCTGCGGTATTATTCCCAGAATAGAAGTTTTATCTTTTACAATTATATTTAAAATGATGCTTGGGATAACACCAAAATGGAGGCCTTTTTTTGTGAATCTATCCCTCAGGGAATCAGAATAATACAGTTCATTTATTTCATTTTGGTGTGAAACCCATTTTGGAAATAGCACAGAGATTAACTTCCTTGAAAGTATTTTGATGTGTTTACATTTCCTGTAATTCCGATATGTTTGGTTCAGATAAGGGGAGGGGGCATGCTTGCATCATTTTTGAACCATAAAAAATAGAAAGCCAGAATTACTATATTGCCACCGGTTTGCATTATGTTAAGCTAGTTTAAGAAGAAACTACAGATGTGAAAACTGAAAGATGCTAGGTAATTTCTCTTCTGTAGTTAACCTCATACTTGCTTAATGCAGAGTTTTCATCTTATAATTTGGGATGTGAAAATACAATTGTATGCTTCCTAAAATACTTTAAACAAGAAACAGTGTCATGTTCAATGGCACTTTTTGTGGTAAATAATATTGTCTGTTTCTTTCACTAGGTTGATGGGAATGTGAGCAAAATTTATTGCCAAAACCTTTGCTTGTTAGCCAAGCTCTTCCTGGACCACAAAACCTTGTATTATGATGTTGAGCCGTTCCTTTTTTATGTTCTGACAAAAAATGATGAAAAGGGCTGTCATCTCGTTGGATACTTCTCTAAGGTAAAACAGGGGCTATTATGCCTTCCTTTCCATTTTCAAAAATATTGTGTTTTGAGCCTCTCTCTTTGGGTAAGGTTTCCCACAGTTGTAACTTGAAGAAGTGGCACCTGTTTCTGAAAGGCTAACACCTCCCAAACAGGGCTCTTGAAGGGAGGTGAGGGAGGCACCTTGCCAGCACTGCCGGTCTGTACTTGTAACTCCACCTAATGTTACAGGTGTGCCCTGCAGACTTGAGAGCCTTCCCCTGAGCTTTCTGCCACTTACACTCTTTCTGTGCTCTGTCAGCATGCCTTTTGATGCAGGGCCTAAGAATCTGTCCTCTTTGGCACATTTCAGTGTTGTATTGAAGGCGCTCTTCTCCTTCCCCTTTACTGAGGGCCTCAGGATCCCCAAGAAAGAAGGGAGTCGGTCACTTAAAGAGAATGTTCACGATTTGTTTTTTACTGGTATGTTTCTCATACCCACCCACATCACCGCTACCCTCCTGTATCCCTTCCTGCTCCACCCTCATCCTCTCACTTTGTTCCATGGGTCCTGCTCCCTGATTTTTACCAACTTCTCTTCCTCGTTGCTCCTTATATTCATCTCCTTGAGGTTGAAGAAATCTGACTTTCTCCTGATGCTACTTCATCAACTCAGCCTTCTCTCCTGATCCCCAACACGCTGGATCAGGACAGGAAAAGAACATTCTTCTTGTTCCTCACTGTTATTTCCAGGCCCCTTTCCCATTTACTTTCATCAGCAATCTCTTCTGCTTTGATCTTCTGTTCACTCTTCTGCTCAGGAAGTTCCAGTGGCTCCCTATTGCCCATAGAGTAAAATACAAATGCAAAATCCTCCTGCAGTTTGACTCCATCCCATTTTTTTCTTGATGACACATTACCCTCCCATCACACTCTCTGTCTTCCAGGGATGCAGCATTTTTTGGCACAGGCTTACTCCATGCCTCAAATGCTCTCCTCCCTTCCCTCCAGCCCCTATCCCTAGCAACCCCTAGGTCCCATCAAGGCTCAGCTCAAGCTCTGCATCCTTCAGGTCACTGTAAATTAATTTTGTATATTTATGTGTTTTATACTCTTTATCTTTGAACGTGCTGCATCTACCCAGGAGAGTGTAAACAAGACTTGTTTCACTTTTGGATTAGTGTGCTCAGCACCTAGCATAGGGCTGAGAGATGCTTATTAATTCATGCTTTCTCATTGATACGCTGTTGCTCCAAGAGAATCTCATCTGTGCAAGAAGTTGACATTTTAGTTGTCCCAGGCTAAAACAGTGATTGCATCCCCCGCTGCCCACATTGCCCCTTCAGTTCTCACCCAGGAGGGTTCTTGGTGCTCTTCTCGTCTGTCATAGTTTGTTACACCCCCATACTGGGCGGACACTCAGGCACAGCTGTCTCACCATGCTCCCTCTCTTTTTTTGGGGTCACACATTGAATATCATCTTTTTTCCTGCCATCACTCAGTAATTCTAAGCTCCCTTCTGGTTTCCTTTTTATCTACCCATGAACTGCTCTGTCACATAATGGCCTAATCTTCTTTCGACCCTAAACCAATCCATACGCACACTATTCTTACTGTATTCCCTAACGTGGCCCAGCCTCTCTGACAGTAAACACCCAGGTTCCCTCTGTGCCCTCTCTTCTCTGCCAACGTGACAAATGAGGACAAGGTAAATCACCTGTAACTTCAGGCAGCAATTCCAGCTGCAGAATCCTAACTGCCTTTCTTTGCGTGAATCCTAGATTGAAGGGACTAAAGTGACAGTTGGGTCAGAATTACTAAGTGAAACTATTCCCAAGATCTCTGAATGTTGAGGTGCTTGTTAGAGGACCACTTCTTAGTTCATCTTCCTAGATTGAGCATTAAATCAATCCTTGCTCTTAATCTTAAGTCTCTGAATACAGAAGATGGAGACAAATCTTTCTTCACAAAAATTCTTTACATGTATTTAGAAATTTTTTTCCCACCACTTATGTACTAAAACAGGTTCATTAAGATGTAGGTTTTCTGAGTAGTTCTTTGATACTTAGTATAGTTTGTGATCAGTCTCATTCCTGGTTTGTACTTGGCCAGAGTGTTCACAATCTCATAAGCTTTTTCCTCTGTAGGTAGTTTTGGGCATCTTTTTTTTTTTTATCCTTAATAAAAGATAGCTGCTTTGATGCCAAAAACTCATAAAAATTCCAAATTCCTCTTAAGTTTAAGAATTATTTTGTAGCTTGCATCTTCCAATTCCTACTTTTGTTTCTAGTTATGTACAATATATCTGCTTCCTTTGTTGTTTGGAGGACTTAGAGGTGTTCTTCATTTGATTTTCAAATTTCCAATTTCTCAGACATTTTCATCTTTTATGCAAAGGATAAAATGTACGTAGCCATGGAAAATCTCCCCGTGCTTCAGGTACTACTTTAGTTATACTAACATTAGGAACATTTGCTTCAAGGTAGAAAACAGAATATTAGAGAGTGGAGCATGTTATTTAATGTGCTTCCAGAAGGCTGGCTGGCCATCTAGAGGGACTTGGGGCACTGCTTTCCCCTGTTTCTCCTTGACAGACCCAAGCCATTTAAGTATGGAAAGGATTTCCACTACCTTCTTTACTTCCATTGCTGAGGTCGATACATTCCTGGATTCTGTGTTCTAACTGAGAGTATAGTTAAGAAATGCACCCAGCTCAGGTGGTTTGTCTTAAACTTGTGACGCCATCAGGTGCCAGACTTTTTTGCTTTGTTCTTTCCTTGACGTGGCTGCTCCTCACCTTCCTGAAGCAGTGTCCAAGGGCAGCAGCGAGTGCAGGAAGGGGCCCACGTCAGCAGCACTTTGACATATGTGATCTGCTTCTCCTTCCCTCAGGAAAAGCTTTGCCAGCAGAAGTACAATGTCTCCTGCATAATGATCATGCCCCAGTACCAAAGGCAAGGATTTGGAAGGTTTCTCATTGATTTCAGTAAGTGAAGTGCTTTATTTTCGTTCATGATCCAGAGAGCCTATGGCTGTTATGGGGAAACAGTAACACATAAAACTTTATTTAACCTGCTTTGTTGTTTTTATCAGTAGATAATGGGATTTCTATTTATTTTTACATAGGTTAGAAAAGCATCCCCAAGTGAAAAATTTACTGCTTCCCTGTTATCATACTCTAGGAAATTGAGACAAGATCTCTCTCACACAAAGCTATTATACTGAATGAACTGGCTAAATTACATTCCATTTTGTGATGCTGATTAGTACCAAAAGAGGCAATTATTTGTGATTAAAGCTAAAGGAGGTGTTATTTCAAGGCATTCTCAGTTTTCAAAAAAAAATTGCCTCTTTTACTGAAAGGAATATAAAGGGAATATTTCTATTAAAATAGTTTATCTTTTCAGAAGATCTCTCTTATAGCAGTAACTAAAACCCATTTTTGCATCCTTTTAATTTTAATCTGCAAATTTTCAGTTTTTCAGAGATCTGCCAAAGAACATTTGCTTAATATGTGTTTATTAAATTATCCAAACTCTCTCAATCATATGACTGACTAATATGTAAATAGATTTGCACAAGCAGCTGTTGAGAAGAAATGTTGGGAGAGTTGTGATAGTTGATTGTCATCACTGTTACTCTTATGAATTAGTCAGTAGCCATGGTCGTTTAAGATAGTAAAACCCAGGTACCCTGAATGACGGGTATTCCTGGAATGTGGACGTTTCTAACCTTTGAAAAAATTAGTCAGTAGCATCTCTGCATTCGTTAGATCACTGTGTTTGCCCAAAGGCAGAAGGGGTCATTCAGCCACCAAGCATTATTAAGTACATACTGCGTGCCAGGCACTGTACTGGGTGCTGGAGAAGCAGAGACTCAAATGAAAAGCAGTTCCTGCTCTCACAGAACTTCCATTCCATCAAGGAAGAGGAGGTGCGACTATAAACTTAGGCTAAATCCAAGGTACTCAGAAAGGGTGAGGGCACTAGGAGTTGGAAAGGCTTTGGGTAGAAGGTAATCTTGATTTGTCTCTTAAAGAATGTAAGGAATTCTGTAAGGAGGGGAGGGCATTCCACAAAAAGAGGATGGCCAAGGCAAAGAGAAGAGATGCTGTACAGGAGGAGCGTAGAAAAGGTCACTCGGACTGCTCTGTAGAGTGCAGGGAGGGAAGAACGTATAATGAGGCTACAAAGAAGGGCTGGGGCCACAGAGCGAAGAGCTTTAAAAGCCAAGACAAGTTTGGATTCAGCCTCTTGGCGAGAGGGACTCGTTGAAATTTAGTGCAGAGTGCAGGGAAATCACATGGCTGGGTTGGCACTCAAAAAAATCACCCTAGCCGCTGTGTAGAGGGTGGGTTGGAGTAGAAAGAGACCTGGAGACTGTTGTGGTGGCCTCAGCAGGAGACAAGAAGGGCCTGAGCTTGGATGGTGGCCCTATGAGGAGGAAAAAGGAAGCAGTTGTGATAGATCTTGTGGCAAGATTTGCAACTGACTGATGTGTGGAGTGAAGGAGTCAGGCATAACTCCTAGGTTATGAATATCAGAAAACACCTTTCTCAGAAACTAAGAAAATTCAAGAAATAACCACGTGTTATTCACTTAGTGATTACTCATTAAATGGTAACAATCATAAATGTAATCAAGAAAAAAATACAGTGATATGAGATATGTCCATATCCCTTAATGTTGAAATATTTAGTATCTGGAAAAGACATATTCATCACTCGATTCATTAACTAGGCTTTACTCTTTTACGGGGGAAATTGTATATTTTTATGTTTTTGTTAGTTTGCAGCAGGGAATGTATCTGTGGGAGGCACAATGGTGCAGTGCAAAGAGCTCTGGATGAATTTGGAGTCAAGGTCCTGGGTTATTACCTGTTTGACCTTGGGCAGATCACCTACCTTCTTTCTCTGGGCCTTGTTTTCCTCATCTGTAAAATAAAGGAGCTGAACTCCAAAGTAACTTCCATCTCTAAATCTACAATCCTTTCCTTACTGTCGAATCTGGAGTCTATATGCAATGCTAAAATCTTCATTTACCTGTTTACGGAGAGGTTTTTTCTCTGGGAAGTGATGTTTAGATCCTTTGTTCTGAAATTTTGTGCACAATGCATGAGTTAATCCAATAGCTATTATTAAGAATGATAGTAATAGTTACTAAGTGTCTGGTATGTATGGCACTGGGTCAGTCTAATTACAAAGATGTTCATTTGAAAAAGAATGTAATTATTTCCTGTATCCTTCCACCTTAAAACCTAAAACAATGATGATTTTGGTATAAACCAACATTGTTTTATCCAAATATAATAATACCTTATTGATACAGCATTTTCCAAGAATGAATGAATTTACCTAAATGAATTTTCAAGATAACTAAATTTGTATTCTTTAAATAAAAATTTTTGCTTGTTTTAACCATTTGGATAGGAAATATAAAATGTTTTATACTTTGCTGTATTCTTAAATGTCAGATTTAACTGAGCATAATTAATCCTTTTCTTTATGTTATGGACTCGCTTATTAAGCCCCTTTAGCTTGGACTATGTGGGATTGTGGGAAGGGATCTGGCCACAAGGCCAGGAAGACCTGGTTCCAAAATGACTGACTGACCGAGTGCATGAATGAAGTGTTCATCAGTCACTTACTGTGTTCTGAGCTGCAGATGCACACAGAAAAGTAGGAGAGTCCCCGTCCGCAGACAACTCCCTTGAGACTCTGTTGTAGAACAGCGCTTCTTAAACTGTGAGTCTCAATCCCACTGAAAAAGTTGCAGGTGGAAAAAGCTTAAGAAGCTCTGTTGCAGAGCACATGTTGACCTGCCCTCCTAGAGGAAGTTTCTTAACCAGGGATACTCTATATGAAAGAAATAACAGGTTCAGTCCAGAAAAGACAGAAAAGGACTAGGCAATATGCTTGGTATTGGAGATATGATTTTTATATTGTGAGGTGATTAGTTCTCCGTGTTCTTTTTATTTTATTTTTATCTCTTTCCTCTCTCCAGGCTCTTGACTGGCAAGAGAGTTCTTGTGTCATTCGGCTTGCTTCTAGCGTTCTCTCCCCCAGGGCCCCAGTCTGGAGAATGAGATATAACTCAGGTTGTTGAGAATCTCCTGTTAAGTGATAATGAGTATGGCTCTGTAGAAGGTGTTGGAGGTAAAGTGGGTGGTTTTAGTGTAGGAGAAATCTTTCATAGCTCTCAAGCCTTTTTCATTAATTTGTACTTTTGTGACTATGTCTCAGAAGATCGAGGGTAGAAGACTGGCTTCTAAGTAAATGGAATTGCTAGTGGAAGTCAAAGACTTTTTTAGACTGAGAGCAAAAAGAGAAATGGGAACGTTGGGTCATCTGATCCAGCAGACTAGATGAGGAACTGTGATGAAAAGTTAACACTTAGGGTTAGCCAGGCATCAGTAGGCAGCGGGGCAGCACAGGATCGGACCTGACCCAGAGATCCTTCAGGAGGATCTTCTGCCCCTCTGGCCATGCCTTTGCTTTGTCCCAGCTATACAGAGTTTTAGAAAGAGGGAAAATAATCCCCAGAAGAAGGGATAAAAAGAATTGTTAACATTCATTTGAAGAAGACAACATGAAGGAGGGAATTTAAAGCAAGAGAAGATGTGTTTAAATTGTCACAGTAAAAATGTATGTGTGGTGGCATAATATGACCTCTGTCGTTAGAGGCAGGATTCAGATCTCTGTTCTGATGCTTAGATGTGTGACCCTGAATAGGTCACTTAACCCAAGTCTCAATTTCCTTACTTGTAAAATGGATATAATAATACCCCATATTTAGCCTACAAAGGCTATTGTGAGGATCAAATGAAATATGTGTGAAAGGTGTTTTGTAATCCTTAAGGCCCTATGTAAATGCCAGGGTTTAGTTGAGAAATTAAGAATTCTTTATGGGAAAAGACAGGGGAAGGATACTAGGGATATTATAGTGATAAAAGAAACAAGACATCAATAAAAACTTATTTTAAAAAAGAAATGAAGGGTTCAATCCTAGGGTCTGCCACTTATAGCTGTGTCCCTGAACAAGTGGCTTAACATTTTTTTCTCATGTGTACAGTGGAGGCAGTAATTGAGACCTCCCAGAATTGGAAGGAATGTCCAACTTAAACCTAAATGAGATCCTACCTGGAGGGGAGTGAACACCTTCACTGGAAGCCATTCTCTCCCAAGGCAGCCCATTCCATTTTGGGTTAGGTATCATCATCAGCCTCAGGATGACCCTTTGCAATTTCCACACATTGTTTCCAGCTGTGCCCTCTGGGGGGCACTGATCTCACTTTCAAGCACTAGAGCTTCACATACTTGAGGACAGCCTTTTCAGCTCTCGACTGAATATGCCTGGTTCCTTCTGCTGCTTCTCACATGGTGTAGTCAGCAGTACACTTAACCATCCTGGTTGCCTTCTTCTGCACTACCTACATGTATGTAGCACCTGTCTCTTAGGCGGCTGTGAAGGTCAAATGAGGAAATGTATTTGAGAGTACTTTGTATTATTGTTGTTATTATTGCTAACAACAATAATAATTAGGTAAAATTAATGGTTTGAAGCCAGTACAGTAGGTTGCTAAGAAAAATTATAGAATCACCTTCTTTGGAGACAGTCAGGCAAAGAGTTAGCAGTTGCCATTTTTGTAATGGTTAAAATGTGGTTTTTATTATAGACTGGGGAATTACTTCAGTGACCTTTCAAAATTCCCTTTGTCTTTGGAATTCTAAGCTGTTGGAAGACAGATAATGTAGGGGACGTATTTTCTAGACCATAATTCTCTAACCCTTTAAAGGAGAGTTTTTGCTTCTGGATTTATTTTATTCAAGTAATTTACATGGGCCCTAGAGTCATCTGGGTAATGGAGCATTTTTAGGAAATCAAATAAGATTCTTAAGCAGAAAAATCTTATTTCTTCTAAAATAATTTGTTAGTTAAGCTAGCCTGGAACAAGATACTGGTAGAGTGGAGAGAAAGCTACAGTTGC